TTAAAACAATCTAAAATGAAAAACAGCATACTCCCCTTCAAAACACAATCCAAATAAAAGTGTCGGACATAATGGAAAGTATACCATTTCAATTTTTTTTTCTCCAAAATACTAATTCAAGTTAAATTCAACAAAGCCAAACTCAAATCAGTCAATGTGGACACTTTGACTTTCATACTTGTATTTGACCCAAGAGTCAAAGTGTCGACCCCATAGGATCCCTTAGCCTTGAGATATACTATAACACGAATTTTGGTAATTACTACTACAATCTGAAGAAGAAAGAGAAACCCGTAATCATCAAATAAGATAATCTACCTACCTTGTCTGGATCGCAAAAGGGTGATACTGTTAACCGTGGTTACTCAACCCATTGGAAAGTTGGTCCTTGACCACACCCGGGACCCTAAAAAATTACTAAAATGGTAGTATCTAACTTTCTCTTTTTATTATTTTCCTCTTTCTTTTACTATTTTTCCAGATTTACAGAATCATCACTTTAGACCCGCCCGCCAGTATCACCTACCATCATTTGAAATTTTCAAATTAAATTTGAAAAAACTACTGTGTGCATTGTACACCCAACCGAAGAGGGAAGTCAGGGGGAATCCCAATCCATAGCCATACCTCCAAAATAGTCCTCTAAGGGCAGCTCACAACAGTGTCACAGGGTGCCTTGGATTGGATTATAATCCGAGCTCCTGAAGCAAGCCTGTTGAAGAAGAAAAATAATATGAAACGTCAATAGCCATGAATAAGGAGTTTGGGAATATGATGATTATTTTGAACAAGTGGGAAGGAGTCAAGACTTAACTTTCTTCAATTTTGATCACCTTCTCCTCTTCTCTGAAGGAATCTAGCCTTTTTGATTGCCTTTTACCCGAAACAGGATTATTTAGTCTTTTGCTGCTACCATTAGATACGGGTTGTGAGCTGTCAACCTCATCAGAGGAGCTTCTTGGTTTTTCGGAGACGGGAGATCTCATGGATTCACTTCGTGGTTGCTTGTTTATTGAAGCCTTGATTGAACGGGGAATGCATTTAGAACGTCCAGAATTTCTCTCCTCTTTGTCCTCAGCTGAATCCAACTGCTTACCATTTCTGCAATTCAATTTGGTTTCAAATTTTTGGCATACAAAGATAAGCAGCAAATAATGCAATGCACTAGCATGAGCAATTACGTGAGAGAAACAAAGCCTTGAGCAACAAAGCCTTGAGCAACAAAGCCTAACCAATTAGTCCACAGACCACACCGTGTAATCACCACCATGAATTCAATTAAATTAGCTAATATCCCAAATAACGTGCAACCATCTAATTTAGTCAAATCACTCACTATTGATTTTTAATAGCATTAACTTCATTGGTTAAATGTCCACATAATGATGTGAAATCTTTCAATGCATTTGATTCAAATAAGAAATCACACACTACGATATACACTTATCAAAGGAAAACTCCAATTTCTCAATACAGAGGCAATAAGTCAAGCAAATTTAGACATTTGATAAACAAAAGGTGAGAATGCCACAATTAGCTAGGTGACTCTGCTCATTCTTTAAAGATCATAGACAATCTCAGCAAAAAAAAAAAAGTTGACTGAAAATATCACAAAATGCCTTGATATCTTGAGGCATCATATATAAAACATAAAGAAAACATTGTTTTTGCTATGATGCATAAATTTACATAATTAAAGGTTAAAGCACCAAATTTTAATCATTTTACATTAGAGAACAAAAGTATGAGAACATCTAAGTGTAAAGCCAGACAAAGTAATGCATGAACAAACCAATTGCAGTATCACACAAGTTTTAATTGACAACTAATTCTTCAATTCTTTTCTTTTCTTTACACTTCTAGATAGATCAAGAAAGACCAAGACAATTAAGACAAGAAGTTCCTTTTTCATCACCCAATTAAGCTGCTTATTCAAGTGATATAGTTTTCTAAAGTATGTCATCTTCCACATTTGCTAACAATTATGCTTCAATCTTTGCTGATAAAAAAAAAAAAAAGCTTCAATATGGGTAGTAGAGTAGTTTTAGAACATTACGGTAACATGCAAACCAAAACCTTAAAAAAAGCATCAGAAATAGGAAGATAAGCTCCAAAATTAGATTATTCCGATTTTTTTTTTCAAGTTAAGGGCATACAAAGAATAAGAATCTAACGTTGCAAGATGATATCTCAAAGCTAAACTTACTTGTTTGCATTGAATGAAGAAGAACGTTTCAGAGACCTTTGTCCATCTGCTTCTTCCTTAAGATTTTTTGTGTCAATTAAGCTCCCACTGAAATATTCCTTGTCTTCTAATCTCAAGCCCATCAGCTTTGGGTTCTCTGGTAAGTAATCGAGCTCTCCCAGCATGATTGAAGTAGAGAATAGTGGGGAAGGAAATCTTGTATGACCAAACCTTGGCCTGTATGCTGGAACAAGGCCAAAACTGTGGTCTTTCACTGATATTGACCCACATGAGATCAATTGCATCAACATATTTGTCGCTTTCAGCCTTGCATTGGTTGGCATTCGAAGTTCTTCCTCTTCAAGAATCCTAAAACTGTTGATTTTACTAGCATCAGCTCTTATTAAAGATTCCAAAGTTTCAGTTTTCCCTCCAGAAGACGATGCACTTGATGTGGATGGAGGAGGGGATACTGGATCCCTGCATATCTCAGAGTTCTCTTTCTCACATGAAACCTGATTCTGATAATTCTCATGACATTCTGGTTCTAATGATCCATCATCAGTTGAAACACCCCTTGTACAAGTTTCCCGTGCTTTAGGCCTACTTATATTTTCTTCAGTCTGTGTAGAGGCATCTGCTAACCCATCACCCTTATAAACCTTATACTCTGTCAAGCTCAGGGAACCACCCCAAGAAGAATTCTTTCCATAGCTAGACTCTGGTGACACACCAGAAGAGCAAGGCCGTTGTAGCGGAGGAGAGACCTCATCTTCCTGAGAATGCTTTGTCATCTTCCCATTCATGCTTGAAGATGATGAGGAATCATCTTGGCTTCTAGATGAAGATGGTGGCTCCGGTAGTTGCTTCAGACTTTGCAATCTTAGATTTCCACCTGGAATAAAACGACCTGTTAAGAAAATAAATTTCAACATTCAGGTGAACTTTTTCCTATGCCTCTTAAGTACTAAATTAAATCAACTGCAAAGCTATTATACAAATAAATGTGAAATTGACCTGAATTAGAGTCTTCAAAAAGCTCAGAACCTTTGAGAACATACTCATTCCCATGAGCGGGAAAAATTAAATCGTCTTCTGAAAGATCATGCCACACGAATCCATTCTTATAGCTTCTGCATAATGAATCAGCCAAAAAGAAATTTAACATAGAGAAAGTGATTTCGCTTTACATTAATTTCTTGCAGTTTCTCGGCAACCAAACAGGAAAAAATAGAAAGAAGAATCACCTTTTGCAGGACCAAGAATACATGGAAGCCATTCCTCGGCCTCTAAGAACATTAAGCCTTTCAATCACGTCTATAATATACAGCAAAAAAACTCCCAAAATCAATAATAATAATAAGAGATTAAATTGTTGAATTAATCAATGGAGCTTCAACCCATACTCACCTCTTAAGTGCAGACCAGCCGACGAAGAAAGAGGAACCTCAATGACGTGAGGATGCTCCAGTTGCCGATTTCTACAGAGATAATAAACCACCGGAACTTTCCTGCTCTGCTGCTGCTGGTAATACTTAGGCGATCTCTCCGTCCAGACTTTCGTCCTCTCCGGACTCACCTGCTTGTACTTGCTCATCCTCGCCTCCATCTCCTAGCCAAACCCTAATTCCAGCAACAAATTCAGTAGACTCCCCAACACATTTTACCAACCATCACCAAAATCACAGAGCCGCAACTAGATCTACAAAACGTTAAAAAAAAACTCCTAGAATACTTCTAAATATGGCAGGAAGAAATCAACCGAACTGAGAAAGAGGAGCGAAAGCAGAACGATGGAGACACCGGAATGAAATAGAAGGAAAGAAAGAATGTGATTGGAAAAAAAAAAAAGGATTTTCTGGGGAAACGGGAAAATGGGTTAGGGAGGGAGAGAGGAAAGCACTAGATTACAGAGGTACAGACGAGATGCAGAGAGAAAGAGAGGGTGGGAGAGATGACCATTAAACGGTTTTGTAGGGAAGTGTTTGGGTTGATGGTGACAGAAGGGAAAAAGGGGAGGAAAGTAAAGTGAAAATGCTCCTTAATTATACGAGTTTCTGCTTTGTTTGGTTGCTTCATTGGAGCCCCAGCTTCACTCTCAGGGACAGGAAGAGTGTTTGTTTCTTAGTCATTACCGTTTTTCAGTTTAATTACTCTTTAATTACTGTTAACTATCGGACTAAAACATGGAATGCACGATATGAGAAATATTATAAGTATAATATTACAAAATAAAATAATAAAATATATTATTATATAATTAATTATTTTTATTTAAAATTTTATTATTAATATTATATATTTATTCATTTAATATAATCATATTTTTTCTAATAAATTATAATCAAATTTATCATATCAAGGGAGAACTGGAAAAGGAGATCACCTGAACTCGAATTTCCAACTTAGAGGTGTTTCACTTATAATCAAGTGGTAAATCACTTCACTTATGCATGATGAACAATATAATCACATATTTATTAAATATTATATTATGATTATATATTTATAATTTTATATGATATTATAATTATAATATTATTAAATTAATAAATAATACTTAAGTGGGTGATTATGAAATATATACTATGTTTGATTTAACTATTATAAACTATTGCTAAATATAATATAAGTTATATGACTATTAAATGATAAAATAATTAATATTAATTTAAAATTAACATATAATTATAAATTTATGTTCACAAACAGTTTTTTTTAAGGAGTTATAAATCGATAAATTCTTAAACCGAACATGGCATTAATTTTTATATAAAACTGTTACAAAAATAAAATAGGAAGTTTTCCTTAAAATTATTTACTCTAATTTTAATTTTTTTGCTTTATATTTGAGTTGAGGGTAGAAAGAGGAGATAAATTATTTTTTTTATTTGGATAAATAATTAAAATTTTTAAAAAAATTTCCTCTTCTCCTCTTTAATTATTTTTATTACTAAATACTTTTTTTTCCATCTCCCTCCCTCTCTCAATTTTCCACAAATCAAACATATCGATAAGAACAAACTTTGAAAAGGGTAATATAGAATAGGTTAAATACATTTTTTGGTCCATTTATTATTGAAAAAAGACTTTTTTATTTGTCCTTATACCAAAAAAATCTCCTTTTTAGTCTCTAAAATTTAAAATTTGACCTCTTTTTTATCCTTCCATTAAATTTTTACTGACCTGTTACGTTAATTAACAGAAACATCTGACATAGGTATTCTAGTTATAAAATTACTTACGTGGACTTAATAACATCCTCCATGTCACTCTTTCTGCGCAAAAAAAAACCCTAATCGATGTTTTTCAGTTCCCTTTTTGAATATCATCTTTCTTTTTACAAAATTCTTGTTTTTCGTTCATAATCAACCTTTTACATGTAAGATTGGTCATGATTGATCAAAACAGATCCCTCTCTTTACTCTTTCCCTAATTTCATATTTTCAACTAGGTTATGAAGTGGATAACATGAGCACAACAACATAAACTTATTATCTCCATTTTCAAACTCAAAAATCAAATCCAAATATCAAACATGATATGGGTTTTGCAATGAACCTAGAATTTAATGTCTCTAATTCAAAACTAAACATGAAATTTTGGTTTCATTTAACTTACATTCAAAAAAAAAAAAAAAAAAGAGTCAGAACCTAGATCTGGGTTCCACAAGGAACCCAAATGGATCCGTTGAAGAACTTAGTTTTTGAGAACTTAGTTTTTGAGAACCTCGAAGAACCCATTTTTTGGGTTTTGTGAGGAACCCAATCTCTAGGAACCTCAAAGAACCTAGCAACTGGGTTCCTCAAAGAACCCTGCAAGTTGGCGAAGAGAATGCAAAGGATGAGGACAAGCAGAGGATAAGGATGAGGAGAAAGAAGAAGATGAAGAAATTAAAGTTAATTTTAGTTTAAATTTATTTAATTCATGAATTAAGAAATAAAATTTTTAATTTATACACAATAGCCCAAAATATGCTTACATGGGTTTATAATTTTATTCATGTAATATACACATCATTTATAATATCATTTATATAAAAAAATAATTAAGTCATTCCGTTAATTAACGTGACAGATCAACAAAAATTTAATAGAGAGATAAAAAAGAGACCAAATTTAAAATTTTAGAAATTACAAAACAAATTTTTTCAGTATAAAAACCAAAAAAAAACTTTTTTTAATAGTAAAAAGATCAAAAAATATATTTAACGTACATAATATGGAACACATTGATCCATTCCACGGGCCGCCTCAGCCGTTTAAAGATCTTTGTACTTTGCTGAGTCTTATGCTTCTTAACAGTAATAAGATGATTATTTCAGCTGTTGTACATTAAAAGGAAAAAAAAAAAGGAAAAAAAAAAAAGATAAAAAGAGAGAAGTACTTGTTAGTGAGGATACCATGTGAAATTGATGTTGTCTATTTAATGTTTAAAAGTCTAAATGAAAATGTCTGTTTGGTGGTATTAAAACAGCTGAAGCTGGAAAAGTTGCAGAAATCATTTTCTAATTGAACACTGTATACTAACCTACAAGATCGGGCAATGACATTGAATTTTTAAATTAAGAGTTGAATAATTGTTGTGATTCATGTGGAGGAGAAAGAGCTCAACTTGATGTGTTTTTTTTTTTTTTCTTAAACGAAAAAGATTAGTAAGCAAAAACTAATAATTGAGCATGATGGTGTAATATTCCTCCTACATCGAATCATCACATGTTTTCTTGGAAACTTCCCTATTATAAATTACAAAGTCATTCGTCCTTGTCTTGGGTAAGTGGGGAAGGGGACTGAGGGGGAGAATTTGATCCAAAGTTGCAATTTTTTAAAGATCCTCTTGATCCATATAATTCAGGCACCAAATGAATCATAATTGGCCTTTTTTAATTTTTAATTATTTAATAAAAATTAATTTTCTTTTATTCTTTAACTAATTTCATTTGTATGTCAACTATGTAATTTAAATTTATAAATTTTTTATTAAAAAATTTATTATTAAATTATTTAAATTATCAATAATTGACCGTACTCATTTTTTCTTATTTTGTGCTTGAAGAGCCCATGTCCACGAGATCAGTTCAAATAATTTTCGAGTTTTAAAAACGATTTCAAATCTTAATAAATTTGTGTTCAAATCATTTGCATTTATAATTCTGTGTCTTTCATGTAAAGGAAGCTTTGAGTAAAAAATTGTTTTAAAAATGAAAGAAAACGAAGAATGGAGTATGTTTCATGTACCTTATATTATATATCATCCTTATTATTCTTTTTTACCACATATGTTATAAAGATATATCACATGGTCACGTATTTAAGACAGGAGCATCTTGTAGGTGAGATTCATAATTAAACATTTCCCTTTAGTCCCAGTTGCCCCCCCACATCCTTCGTGGATCACATGCAAGCAAATTTTCTGGAAGACGGTGACAATGTTTCACTATTAATGCAACCAAAACAACGTAGACATTTGTATTAATGATATAGATTTGATATATTCTCTTCAATTTCTCCTTTTTCTTTTGCCAACTTTATGAAGACCAATTAAGTTGCAAATCAATGGAGAAACCAATAATACTTCTCATCAAGAAATTCCCAAAATGTGTATTTATTCACTACAAACTTGTTTTATGTGAATTGAAAAGCCATGATAAGAAAATAATTCACGGTGAAACTTTTAGTTTTGATACCAATAATCTACAATAAGCTTAATCTGTTTGCACAAATAGAAAGAATATTTGAAGAATTGTGAGTGAGATTGCAAAAATAAAAAAATAAAAAATAATCAATTACAACATCGATTCTTTTCAAAATAGCAAACAAAATAAGGGCATCTCAAAACTAATCTTTTATTATTAAAATATGCAATTAACACCCTTTCCGTTGTAGGGGAGTTTGTTTTATTCCTTTAAGAAATAAGTATCAGTTATTAACTTTAATTTAATAAATTAAATATTTTAAGTAATAAATAATAATAATTAATTATTAAATATCAA